TTATATTTGATGTTGTTTGATTTATTTATTTATATATAAATCTTTCTCTCTCTCTCTCTCTCTCTCTCTATATATATATATATATAGTGATTTGGGTGAAAATATACAGAGCAAATTCACTTTCCATACAGCAGTTCACATACACTTTGTCTCATGACATTGACCACAATTCACCACAATGCAACAGCTCCCACTGCCACTTCCTCCCAACAGTCACCTCTTCCCTGTGTCCATCCCTCCATGCACCCCTGCCCCCTGAGACAGCACAAACAACCCTACTTTCTCCCATGATTGTTTTCTCCAAGGAGTGTATTTACCTCAGGTAAATGTTCAACTCCAGTACCTGTCTTTTGCTTGGCTGGAAGCCACAGGTGTTGGTTCAATTCCAGACCTGAAGGGCAGTTAGGGGCCATAGTCTCAGTGGTTCCACCAGGCTCTATCAGACCAGTAAACCTGGTCTCCTTATTTTTTTTCCCCAAATGATTTTGAGTTTTGTTCCGCTTTGTTCTCCGGAAGTGAGTTTTATTCCAGGCCCAGAATGTATCCTAGGACCATAGTATTGGAGGTCTCACCAGACTCCATCCGACCAGTAATTCTGGTCATTATTGAGTTTTTGGATTTTGTTCCACGTTTTTCCTCCCACTCTATCCAGGATCTCCAGTTTTGATCCTTTCCTGAATGGTTGACATTAGTAGCTGGGCACCATCTAGTTCTTCTGGTCTCAAGGTTCATCATGTCCTAGGGTTGATTGCTTCCAAATGCCCTTGGTTTTTTGCACTCTTTTTCACTTCCAACGATAGAAGACCATTAGCTACATCTTAGATGGCTGCTTGAAAGCTTTTAAGACCCCAGTCATTACTTACCAATGTAGGGTGAGGAACAAAACTTTTAATGTATTTTATTGTGCGAATTGAATCTGGTGTCCCCCAATACTATGGTCCTGAGTTGGTAGATCTGTTGGATCTCTCTCCTACAGTGTCTGGCTGGCTATGAGGGATTACTCTATATCTGTCTTCTGTTGTTTCTGTAAGGATTGTGGGTATTTTGTATCAGTGGTTTCTGTGCAAGATTAGCCTTAGCTGAATCTATCCTTGGTCTAGAGTATAATCCTGTTCACTGACCCTCATCTGATCTTCTCAGATGTTTCTGTGTTTATCTGTAGCCTGGTTTTGGTGTTAATGGTAATGCACTTTTGTGGATATATTGGTATTGGCC